ACAGAACTGGGGAAGAATCTAGAGCAGAAATCCTGTGAGAAGCAGCTGACAGAACTGGGATTGCTCAGCCAGGAGAAAAGGAGGCTCAGGGGAGACTTACTTGCTCTCTACAACTCCCTGAAAGGAGGTTGTAGCCACTAGAGGGTCAGCCTCTTCTACTAGGTAACAAACAATCAGACAAGAGTGAATGGTCTCCATTTGCACCAAGGGAGGTTTAGATTGGATATTAGAACAAAGTTCTTTCCCAAAAAGTTGCCATTGAAACATTGAAACAAGCTACCCAGGGAACAGATGGACTCATCACCCTTGAAGCCTGTAAAGAAAATGTGGATGTGACACTTGGAGACATGGTTTACTGAACATGGCAGTGCTGGGTTAATTGTCAGACTCAATGATCTTAGAGGTCTTTTCCAACCTGAACCATTCTGTGATTTTATGATTCTGTAATTCTATAATTATTTCACACAAGACAAAAACTAGCATTATTAATATTAACAGAAAGGTGAACCAGTGACAATTTAATTAAGGGAGTATAGAAGATAAAAACCAAGATATGGGTGTGACAGAAAGGGAAAAGACAAAAGCAACTGATTACCATGGGTTTCAAGAATGGCTAGGGTTTGGAAAACCATAAAGCCTACAGTTCCAGGGACATTAGAGCAGCAAAAGACAGGCCAAGGGGGGCATGGCATTGCAACAATGTAAATTTTGAGGGCTTTTGCCTGGAGCGCTGAACCCCCCATGATTTTTAGATTGCCTTCTTGAAATGCATTGTCTATGGGCAGACACTGAGTTTATTACTTCCTTTCAAGGTAACCATCCTCAGATATTCAAATAGCACAAGCACTTTTCTTGAGGGTATTCACACTCTTTTGTGAAGCTATACTGGAGCTGCAATAGGAAGTACAGGGGGCAGCTTCACAACACAGGATTTTATGGACAATACTTAGGAGCTTTCCAGTGTTCTTGACCCTCACTCCCAGCCCATGACACAACATGACATCTAGTTCCTTAGGACACAGCAACTTCAAACATGAAAACAACCAAATTTGCCATCCAAAAGAGCAGTTTAACACTGAACCTGCATGCTATGCCCAGTACTTTCTGTTTGCTTTGCTGGGTTAGTTTTCAGATGGATGAGCTCCCCAGTCTGCATGGAGGAGGTGGAAAAACAGCTAGGGACACGTTGTGGAGAGATCAGGCAGGCTTGGGCTTGTACCAAGCTAAAGATGGGCAGCACCACACAGGGATATAAACCTGCTTTAACTGGCTCGGTTTGCAGAAGAGCTCTGTGATTACCTGTCCTGGAACCACAAGGGGTAGAAGTGTGCAGGACTAGAAATAAGCAAGCAGTCATGTGTGGCAACAGAGGAGCAAAAACTCCCTTCAGCTGTGACTTGTCACCCAATGGCTGAGGAACTGGTAGCATTCAGTGTCAATTCTGTAGCTTTCTACAGTGCTGGAAGCACTGTAGAATATACTGGCTTGTTTTGGGTGGACAGAAAATCTGTGACCACTCTGGGAGGTGCCTCTGTTAACCAGCATGGTGTTAAAATGAACTGCCTAGCTGAGATGGTCTTACCACCACAACCTTTTCTGAAATGGTCTGTAAGAGTCCATCACCAATTAAACCCCTGAGGCAATATAAAAGAAACTTTTAAAGAAGACTCTCCATAAAGCTTTGAAATACAGTTTTTCCACTGCCTTGAACTTACATGTCATCAATTCCTTTATAAATGGAATGGGTATTTCACACTAATAAATATTACTAACTCACATGTAAATGCTGTTCTAATTTGATACCATTTCTATTTTACATACTTTAACTTTTGCATACAAGACCAGAAATTACTATCATGCCAATTTTACTATTACGTCATTTACTATAATCTCTTTATCTTGGACCCCTAAAGTTTACTTCATGCCAAGCTAATTAATTTACTTGATCAAAGTGTAGGCTGTACTTGACAGCTGTCACAAAATCCCTTAATATTCCTGGAGTTTGATGTCTTCTCTACTGCTTTGTTGTCAGCACAGCAGTTTCCTTGCTGTCACCAGCAGATTTTTCTGCTTTCCTTGATTTTTATGACATTCTCTTTAGACTGCTCTGTACAGCTTCAGTGCAATTCACAAGTGCTGGGCATTTCCTAAGCTGAAATGCAATGTGGTTTAGTCTCCACAGTCTTGGTGTTCAGTTACAAGTGAAATTACATTTAACTCCCAAGCTGTTTACAATTCAAACAAAAGGATTTCTCTGTACAGCATCCAAACCCGAAAAAGTTACAAGCACTTCAGCTTTTTTCACAAAGATCAAATATAAAAAAATCTCCCTCTTCATATTTCCTTTGGTTGAAGTCTTCTGCATACCATATAGCTTAGCTTGTATCTACAGAGCCTCTTTTTACGTATCACATAAGCTTTTACCGATAAGCTCGCTCTTCTAATCCTCTAAGGGTTCCATACAAATTCAGTCTTTTCCCTTCTAAACTTCTTAATTTCTTACTTATTCAGAAGATATTTCTACACTTGACTCCTTAAAGACTTGGAGATATTTTTTTTTTCAGAATAGCTGTTAAGCTTTGTACATTGTTCCAAACATTTTGGCTAACCACTTTTCTATCAGATCAAGCAGAAGGTGCCTGTATCGGAATTCCCCAAACCACCCCACAGGTCCTTTTAAGTCTCTTCCCACTCCTTGACTCCTGAGCTCACAGCATCTGGTTGCAGCTGCTTTTCTGCAAATCCAGGTTTGGACTACGCTCCTTTCCAGAGTCTCATCATAGTCAGCTCTCTTCCCATCACACTTTGCATCTGCTTTCACCTTGGATGACCTCTCCTGGATCAGGCTGTTCCGTTTTCCCTTAGGCCTTCTCCTGAATCATAGGTATTGCGTTCTATAATCTTGGCATTGCCACTAAGCCAGAACCAAGCCTGGCACAGAGCCAGACTTGCAGTAAGCAGCATTCCCTGGAAACAGCTTAGTGCATGGAGAAACTTGTGAGAGCCAGTAGGCAGGAGGGCAAAGGAATCTCTCCTGATAATTAGACAGCGAGGAGCTTTACTGCATCACTGCTGGAAGAACATCTCAGTATCAATGCTAAGCTGACCTGGAGCAATGTAGGAAACAGGCTCTGCACAGCTCACACCAGGGGATCATACATGCCTGTGACAGCTTTAGTTCTGGCCGTGTGACCTGCTGCCAGATCCAGGACCTGGATCCTGTCCTAGTGAGGAATACAGATGTAATTCCCACCTGGATGCAGATTATAGCCCCTTCCTATATTTATATTTTACAGAATCACACACTTGTTAGGGTTGGAAAGGACCTCTGGAGAACATCTATTCCAATCCCCTCTGCCAAGGCAGAGTCACATAGAACAGGTAACACAGGCACAAGTCCTACTGAGTGAATGTCTCCAGAAAGGGAGATTCCACAACCTCCCTGGGCAGCCTTTCCCAGCGCTCTGCCACTCCCAGTGTAAAAAAACCCAAGGTGTAACTTTGTGTGTTTAAATTTATGGCCACTGCTCTTTGTCCTGTCACTGGTCACACTGGAAAGAGTCTGGCACCATCCTCTTGTCACCCACCTTTGGGATATTTATATACATTAATGAGATTCCTTCTCAGGGCACAGCTCCTGAAGTGCGTCCTCATCTGAGAGATGCTCCAAACCCGTAATCATCATTGTGGACCTCCTATGTACCCTCTCTACTAGCTCCTTCTCTTTCCTAAACTTTGGAGACCAGAACTGAACACAACACTCCAGCTGTGGCCTCTCTAGGGCCCAGTAGAGGGGGAGGATCACCTCTGTCGACCTGCTGGCCACACCTATCCCAATGCACCACAGGATATTCTTTGTCCTCCTGGCCTCAAGGGCACTGCTGGCTCATGGTCAGCGTGCCATCTACCAAGAGTCCCAGTTCTCTGAAGAGCTGCTCTCCAGTAGGTCAGCCCCAGCCTGTCCTGGGGTTGTTCCTCCTCAGGTGCAGGACCCGACACTTGCCCTTGCTGAATTTCACTGGTTTCTCTCTGTCCAACTTCCCAGCCAGTCAAGATTCTGCTGAATGGCAGCCCAGCCTTCACATGTGCTTGGAGCCATCCTTTCTCCACAAAGGAAAAGGAAGCAACCATGACAAAGGAGCACACTGTGGGGAAGAAACCTTTCAGAAAAGCTGGACTATAGGTACCTAGGAACTCTTCACTGGGATCCAGTCTAAAATAGAGACATGAACCCACCTTTCTTTGCCTTGTTTGGTCCATCTTCATGCTGCGCACATTTTGTACATTCTGCTTTTATTTTACATTCTAATTTAAATAAATCCTTTAATAATACCCTTAGGTTTGGCATGCCTTTGCACAACCCTCCCAAGGCTCTCAGCCCTGCTTGGTCAGACAGGATATAAGAAAGAGCTATCCATAACTGCTACTGCAAACAGGATTGGATGAGGTGGTATCACAGATAAAATAAACCAGAAAAAAAACATATGAGAAAAGAGAGAGAAATAAGGAAGAACTCGATTGCTTAAACCAAATAACTATTCACAGCTCTCCATACACACACACTGCTCCAACCAAATGCTCTCTGCAAAGGAAAGCTATTCCTCACTGTGAAAGACCGTGGATGGGGCTCTGTCATGGACTGCCTTCCCAGCACTGACAGGGAAATGCAGGGGCTGCAGATGGTACTGGTACTTCCACAGCAGGTTCCCTGCAGGTACTCTGGTACTATCTGACAGCCATCTGCTCTCTCTCGGCCTTTCAGAAGCGCAGACACAGCAGATCTTTTTCATGTGCTGCACACCAAACTCAGCTCAGAGCCTCAGGGACTCCCCGTCTTTTCCACAGACACACTGCAACTGCAGACACGAAAACCGAGCACTCAGGAAGGCTGCCCATGAATGAACTGCCAGAGTCACAGAGAAACAACCTGCTGCAGCACAGCACTTCTGTGGCTGCTGACAGACCATGTTAACCTGCTTGCATGGCTGGTGCTGTGGAAGATGCGGGCAGTCCCTGCTTTTCCACGAGTCAGCAAAGATGCTGGCAAAGCAGCCATGACAATATACTGCACTGTAAAGTACTGTTGACAAAACACTGCTAGCCTGGACAAGGATGGGAGCTCACTAGTTTATACATTCTTGCCACAGGCTCTGAAAGTCAGGGAGAACAAACTTCCTGTGTTCTGGCATGCTCCCTGTTTTCAAAAGGAACATTTCCATTAGAATTTGTCCTCAGCTCTCATGTGAAGGGATAAATCTGCTTTTACTAATAATGAAGACAGATCTTTTTTTCTTTTTTTCACAAGCTGATTTCATTTTATGCCTACACCATGGTCTCTGGAAACTCATCTTACAGGTTGAAGCAATAAAGAAACCTTGACTAAACTATCTTTATACCATCTGCCAAAAGCACTCTGCAAAGATATCTGCAGTGTTCTGGAGCCCAGGTGAAGTCAATAGCACCCTAGATAAAAATGAGGAACCTAACTTAGGGATATTGGGAAGACAATATGGAAGATACCAGACTGCAACCTTTAAAAATGGTATTGGTAATTACAGAACCGATAATATTTTCATGTTTACTGCAGGCAAAAAAATATAAGTAGCACATAATAATTCCATTAATTTTCTACACCTCTGTAAGGTCTTTGCAAACTTCAGTGAGACAACAAGCCTAGTATTTCACTTTCTTTCCATTAAGAAACCAGTTCATAAAGTTGCAGGTTTTCTTCCCTCTTCTGGGTTTCCTCCACCACAGTGGAGTTTAAAGTTCCTGTTTACTGAACACAGAGAAACTGTTGCTGATAGCATCAGGCAGCACTGCTGTTGGCTATTTTGCTCATTACTGACACAAGTCTACTCTAAAATGAACCCTGTATTGCTGCATAGCTTCTTACCATTAATTATTATATGAAATGTTGAACTGTGAAATCAATATTAAGGAAAATGATCAGTGTATCCTTTCAAGCTCCCATTCTGCCAAAGAAGCAACCGCACAGAAAAAAAACAAAAAACACTTAAAACCAACAATTTGGACCTTAAAAGGAGTGTGAAGCTGGAAAATGTGGACGTTTTAGATTTTGCCTAATAGCACATGAAATTTAACCTCAGCATAGTTAAACCAAACTCCTGAATCCCAGCTCCTGAATTCAAATGAAATGCTTTTTCATTCTGTGATCCTTTAACTTTCACTCCCTGAACATAGACTTGCGCTTCAGAGAGGGTGCTATCCTTCAGGACACTGGATATGTAACCATGTAAATGCAGATGCCATTAATATGGAAATGCAGAGTAGAGTATATGGCAACTTCAGTTTGCAAGGCTGTTCTTAATTTTGGTCTTTATAGCTTTCACATTCTTAATTATGTAAGTTTAACACTTAAAAAAAAATGCCCAAGAAAACACTTATAATGCATGATCCCTAGTAATTACTTCTTCCCACAATCACTACCAAGATCTGTTTCTACAACCTGTGTATCAACAGACAAGAACATTGCTCGAGCAAAAAATATGTAATTAATTCAAACATGCCAAACTAACATATTTTTGTTTGTTTGCTTGTAATTTCCTGAAAACTACTAAAAGGAATCATAAATTAGAACAGAAAGAAATCAGACTCTTCCTAGTTCCCACCCCAGATGTCCATCCTGGCTATTAAGCTTCACACTCCTCCAAAACAACTGAGGTGCAAAGAAAAAGTATATATTAAGACAGGTAGGCCTTTATCACGTCACTTGGCTGAGGAAACATTTGGATTTGTTTCATTTTACTGAGTGAGAGGAATTCTTCGAGGAACAGGGGGGCAAAGAGTCCCAAACTTCCCGAACCAGTACGACAAAAAGAAGAGCTGCTTAACAGTGATGCTCAGCACTGCGAACAGTGCATCTTCAGAAATTTAGCGGCAATTTATACCAACAGCGATTTCCATGTGAAAACTCATTCCCAGCGTGCCGGGCGGGCTCGGGCTCCTGGCCCGCGGGCGGAGCAGCTCCTTCGGCCCCGCCGCCGCGGCCTCCTGCTGCATCTGCTGCCCAGAGGAATAAACCACCCCAAAGCACAGCGCCCAGGAGAACCGGCGGGCGATGCACGGCGTGTGCTGCCGTGGCCGAGCCCGGAGACAGCGGCGGCATTCCCCGAAGCCTGCGGGGCAGCGGGACATGCTCANGCCCGGCGCTGGGACCGCGCTGCGGAGCCCCGGGGCCGGGCAGCTCCGCACCGCCGCCGCTCCCGCTGTACCGCGGCGGGAAGCGCTGCCCTCGACTGCGCTTTTCCTTTTCCCCTCCCGCTGAATTTGCGGCAGTGCCACCTCACGCTCGTGGCCCCGGGTGTTGGTTGGGTTGCAGGGGAAGCCGGGCGAGGTGAAACAGTATCAGACACTACGGGCGGCGAGGGGGTGGGGGGAACACCGGATCTCGCCGTTGCGGTCCGTGAGCTCTGTGGTTAAGGATAGAGGCACTTGCACAGTGCAAATTGCGGCTGCGGTTGAGCTGCAGAGATGAGGAATGCCGTTGTTTTGGTAGTTACCCTTCCTGCCGGGTGTCCTTCGTGCCGGCAGTTTTGGGGAGAGCCAGGAGCGGGAGCAGCGCCTGAGAATACGAGGCTTTGGAACATAGCGCTGCAGTAAGCCAGTGTTCAGCGCTCGTGGCTGCAGGACAGATAAGCACAGCTGTGTCAATACTGTGGATCACTGCCTACCTGAACAAAATGAGTTTACTTTGCTTTCAGAGGTGTACACCCCTTCCTGCTCTCCGTCATTTCTGAAATCTGGGTCTACCTCTTAAGGTCGCACCCTAGCCTTTCAACTATACTTTGAGGATTCTGGGGGTTTGCTCTCATTGTTTCTGCTTTCACTTCAATCAGTGGGAACTTCTGGCTTTCGATGTTAAATTCCTTAGCTTTGCACCGCCATTTGAAATGGATAGAAAGCCCTAAATTTGGGTGGTGGTTGCATGCTTCTGCTGGATGTGTTGAGAGAAAAAGTAGCTAAGTCTGGTTTTTGGTTATTGAGTTACTATTAGATTTTTGGTAGCTGTTTTGAAAGTTCCACAGAAAAATGGTTTTTTGTTTGTTGGCTTTTGGTGGGGGGAGAGGTGTTTGTTTTGGTGGAGTTTTAAAGTGTTGTAAAGAACTAACTGAATATGAAATCTAGAGGAAACAACAAATTGAGGAAAAAAACAAATTCTTCAATGTTTGAAATAAACTTGAGTTCTAGCTAATCTTCCTCTACAGAAAGATTATGCAGGTTCTATTTTGAAGATCTCCTGTATTGAGAAGGCACCTTCACAGGCCCAGTGTTAAAGGAAGAAAACGTATTGACCCCTGTTCTCTTGCATTATTCAGTGCCCTCAGAAATCTTGGCTTTACAGCTTAGCTGACTTGAAACCTCTTCTTTCTCCCCTTTCACAGATGGAGGGACTTCATTAATCTAGATGTAAGAGTTGTCTGTGCTTCTAGAGAAGGCTGGGATTCTCTCTGGGCTTGAAGAACACAGTGAATTGTGTATTGCCTGCTCTGTGGTCTCATGTAAACTCTGCTCTGGAGCCTGGGATTCTTAGCAGTGACGGTCTGACTTGTGTCTTTCTGGCAGAGGGTGTTAACTTTGAACATCTACTTTTAAAAAACTTTGGTACTCCCTTTTATTTTTCTCACAGGTGATGTGTGCTGCTATTCTTTAAGAATAGATGGTAGTTTTGAAAGCGTAGATATGTTCTCAAAGGCAATATAAAACTGAAAATGTGTGCATAGGTTTGTGGAACTGGAAAATACCAGGCATATGTCTTTTCGTTTTCCCCACTCCTTAGATTGACTGAGCTTGAGAACTGAGCATGTCTAGGATGAGTGTACTTGGCAAATTTTTCAGGTGATCTGAAAAAATTAACTGAGTAACTGGAGTTACTCAGTCTGATAGATCAGCTGTGGGATGTTAAGTATTTTAAGAACATGGTGGGGATAATAACAGTTTACCTCATATGGTGTTTAAAAAATACTCACTAAGCTGTATATACACTGATAAGGCATTTTGTCTCTTAAAGTCTGTGATGAAGATGTATTCATAAACATCTGCCCAAACTAAAATAAAAGCTTTCTTCTCCTACTATATACATACTGTGTGTGCTTCTCAGATGTGAAGGCAAGGTATTATCTCAATCTACTAATCCTTCAAGTGTAACTTCAGAGCAACCCATCTAAAATTGCAGCTCTTTCATAGAACAGACCTGCTGAGTTTTGGTGTGAATATACAGATTATAGAGGATTTTCTGAGGCAGTATAAAATTGCATCATGTAAGAAATATCTTACTTTGTATCTGTAGTCTTAGCCCCCTGTACAGAGTGACTCCAGAATAAAAGATGCTGCTGTAGTCAAATAAACCTCCTCTTCTCTCCTTGCTAGAGAAGATGATGCTAATAAAAGCTGTCAAACAAAAACTGTGATAATTCCAAGAGTAAGCTCATGCAAAATGCTGATTTTCTCACATCCTGAAGTTCTTGAGCTTAACAGGAGTACCTCAGTATTTAAAATGTTTCCAAATGCTACAGCCAGGAAAAAGATGAACCAGCACAAAAACTAGGTGCTAAAATGTGCCTTTAAAGCAAAGGAAACTGAGTTGTTCAGCCTGGACAAGAGAAGGCAAGATGTTACAGCAGCCTTTCAGAACCTGAAGGGGAGAACTGGAGAGGAGCTTTGTACAAGGGCAGTCAACACTGGGCAAGGGGGAATGACTTTCAATTGAAAGAGGACAGGTTTAAATTGGACATTAGGACACAATTCTTTACTGTGGGAGTGCTGAAGCACTGGACCAGGTTGTCCAGAGCCATTGTGGATGACCTGGAGATGTTCACAGTCAGGCAGGATAAGCCTTGAGCAGCCTGGTTTAGTGGAAGAAGTCCCAGCCCATGGCAGGGGGGTTGGAATGAGATCTGGAAAGTTCCTTCCAGCCCAAACAATTCTAATTACTCTGTGATTCTCTAAGAATAACGGTGACTTGCCAGTGGTACAAAGTAACCAAGGGGAAAAGTCATTCGACTGAAATAAACTTTAGTCAGTGAGCAGCGTTGGATTTCTTGGTTTGTGCTGCTGGACATAAAAAGAGAAAGCATGCAAATGGTCTTCCTGAAGAAGATCTGAGTCTCTTAAAGTGTGGTTATTAAGAGAAGATTGAAGAGTTAGGCTTCTCACTTGCAGAAGCTGAAATAAATCTGGGAAAAGTCATATAATACAATGAGTTGGGATTTATAAAAAAGCCCTTTCAAAATCTGAGGGGAAAGAAATCCCACAGAAAGTATTTGCCTTTGTTCTCTTGAGTAAAGGTATTGTCTCTACAGAGGAAGAGGAGCTCCACTGCTGACATCAACTGCTCTGTTTAATATAAATAGATGCATTTGCATCAGTTCAGACTTCTCAAGTCTGTGTTAGGTAAGACCAAAGAGGTACAGCTCAATTGTGTTTTATCGCTGAGTAAATTTGGTTTAGATTTAGTGGTGGAGTTTTTATATCCCTCAGAAATAGGCTTGAGAAGGATAAGAAACAAAGGGGCAAGCCACTTACTGCTTCCTCGGGTATTACCCGGTGTTGTCTGATTGCACTCAACATCTGGCAGTAAATATTTTCATGTGTATTCCATGATGCATCTTTGTACAGTTAATTTTAAAATATACTTAATGCTAAAACATATGCACTGCTTTCTCCTAGTGAAGTTTTCAACTGCAATTACAGGTTTGAGGTGTTACCACTACAATACGTTGGCCTTATTTATTTGTCAGGCTAACAAGTTAAAGCTCTGATCCAGCTGTAATCATTCCCTCTGCTGCTTTCATTTTTTATTTATTTTGTTTACCTTTTCTGGGTTTCTTCTTTCCTGGTTGGTTCTCAGTGCAGCCTTATTTATTCTGCTGGCACAGTGGTGGTGTGATAAGGACTGGGATGGGACTTAGGTGGGGAGATTAAACAGATGCTTGATCCAGCCCTGCTGCTGGGGTGGGAATAGACTGGGGAGGCATTCTTTTGAAATTCAGTGATAGACTAGCCAGAAATGCTGGTATGTTCTGTGAAGAAACGATCTCATGATACCAGGGTTTCAGCAGCATTACCTGCTGAAAGATTCCTCTCAGTATCATGCCTTAGGGTCTTACTCTTTTAATGTGGCCTGTCCAGGGATCAATGTCAGGATCTTGATAACTGATTGTATCCTGAGTAAAAATTAAAAATAAAAGTTATTTAAAAGAAAGGTTATTTAGGAGTAACCTGGTTCACTTCCCACTTCAGCCAATGTCCAGCACATCTGAAGGAGCAGCCCTACTTGATCACAAAGGCAGGAATGATTGACAGACTGTTCCTTAAATTTGCAGTTTGACCAGATTACCTCTTGTCCTCTGACTGAAAAAGCCAATTTTAAAGTGACCCACACAATTCTGCTATTTCACTGCTGTTCTATACTGGAGTTGCTTTCACAGGATGCAGATTTCAGTCTTTGATCAGATTGTATTCAGCCCTACGTTCTCATTTTGAGCTGTTTTGGCTTACTTTTGTTCTAGAGTTGCACCAGCTATATCTTCTTTTCTAGTGTAAATACTGAATAGAGTTTCATCTTGTTTGCTCCCTTTTTTTAATATTGTGACTGTGGTGGAAATCGCAGTCTTCCTCTTTGAGCATCTTTTTATGAGTCTTGCCACTGTTCTGAATCCAAATGTTCTTATGTCTCTTTCCCAGTTAAGACTGAGGATAAATATCACATTTCAAGCTTATGCATGCATGATAATGCCAGCATCAGTGCTCGAAATGAAACTTTAAGAACATGTCAGTTTTACTTTTTCTTCTAAATTAATGTGACTTTTGAAGATTAATGGCTCCAAGCATTTCTTCTTTATCAGACTATCTGAAGTACTATCTAGGTTTCAACTCACTGTTTAGGCTTCTGACCACAGTGCCAACTACCATACCTAAAAAACTGGAATTTCATATGAGATGGCAAGCTCTGCAATTGATATGGATTCTGTGTGAAAGATAGATATGTTAAAGGAGTGGTTTTAAAAAAGAAAATACTACTTAAACTTCAGAGGTATTGCACTTTAGTGAGTAGGTTCATTAATTTGTCTTTTCATCTTGTGCAAATAGCCTCCTCGTATCTTAGGGCTTTTAATGAAATTTATGTTCTTCTGACCTGGATGATCTTTGCAACTGCCAGTGGGTTTCTAAGTAAAACAAGAAGTGTTAATGTTAATCTGAAATCTCTGTAATAGATGTTGTCTGGAGATGCATCTCCTCACATGGGTTCCAAATGATGCCAGATGACTTATGCCCACTCTCTCTGCATAAAAATGAAGTTAAAGAGTGTAACTGTATGCTAATGAATTCTGTGATTATCTTTTCAGAGGCAATTACAAGTAGTTCATTTGGCTTGTTTGTACACTGTGGGTGTTTAATCTATCAGCTGAGCATCTGGAGAGTTGAATTTCTTAGTGCAGCCACTCACTAATAGTGGACGTTTTTTGGGTATTGTCTATTTTATTGGTAGATTTCTAATTTGTCCTTATTTGGATGTTTTCTTAAAATGAAGTGTTGCAACTCTTGTGACAAGCAAGTTATCTTTTTCTCTTTGCTAGACTTGGGTTTGTATAGAACTATAATGGAGAATTTAGCCATCTACTGAAACCACTTGTGTGGTTTTGGTGAGCTAATGAGCAAGTGGCTTTCTTTTCCTGGTCTAAAATTCTAGTTGTTTTTGCAGAT